ATAGTTTTTCCCTATTTTCCTGTAGTTTAGGTAATAAAGTGTTCTTTATGTTTAAGCTGGAGCCTGTTTTGCTTATTCCTGGTCACATCTCACAGCAGACTTTAGGGTGAGGGCATTTTCATGGGGGCACTGGCTCTGTGCCAGGCTCAAACCATGACACCCATTGAAAGCACAAGTAGCTGTATCCATTTCCAACACCCCTAGCGCTTTGCAGGTACCTCCTGCACAGCTGCTTCTTGCAGCACTGCACCTCTAACAAGTGCTCTAGTAAAAAAGGGCACAGCTACAGATATTTCTGAATGAAGTGGAGGTATGGATTTATAGTGTCAGTGCAGCTGCTAGTTGCAACTTCTTCCTCTTGCCTTGGAGCAAATTTCCCTTATGGTTAGGGAACTTTCCCCTTCCCATAGGCTGTGAATGGGATTGTGCTGTGGAAAACGTGATGTACATACATTTCCCCACAGTCACTTGTTTGTATAGCTGTACCTTTAGAAATAAGAGCTGCAACCCGAGTAGGGTTTGAGAAGAGTCCTGCTGTTGCCCAAACAATGCTTTCAAAGGACTTTAAAACAGTGTGTCATGAGGGATTTGGAATTTGTTTTGCCATACAAACCGCTGTGGCACCCATTTCAGCCGGGGTCTGAAGCGGAGTTTGTGGTTAAAAACACTGTGCAGCTGAAATACAACAACAAAGCAGTTCCTCTGACTAATGCTGGCTGCAGTCCTGGGGTCTTTTCTCTTGCTTTCTCAGCCACACCCTTCCCTGAAATCTCCTTCTGGGTTATGCAGCTGACCGCAAGTCCATGGGGTTAGTCTATAACGGCAAAATGATTTTCCAGACCAGAACATTTACAGTTTGATATCTAGATGAGTGACTAATTTTTGACTCATGAGTAATGCCTGACCTTACTGATGTGCCCCCAGCTGGTTTTCAGAAATTGAACTCTCAAGGGGAATACTCATCCTCAAATTCCCAAGCGCCATAGATGTCATGTGGCTGTCACCAGAATGACAAATGTGCCCCCACACATCCCTCCCCTGCTGCACCCCAGAATGCTGTGGCCCTTCAGAAGCTGAAACATCTGCAGCCTTTCTCCTGAGCTTGGGTGCACGCACAGGTGACAGCTGTTACCTTTCCTGGAGCAGCTGTACACACAGCTCCTGTTCAGCCACTCCTCTCCTGCCAATCCATGCCATACAGGACTGTGCATTAATTCAGGATTGTGATAGGGTTAAGCAGAGCAGACATTGTGTGCAGGATGTATTCTGTTTTCATCACAATATTTTGAAAGTAAGGGAATGCATGAGAATACATATTTGCTGCAGCTCAATAAATTCCCACCTTTTTTCTGTTTTAATAAGGAAACCACAAAGTCTGCAGCTAAATATTCCCCAAATTGAAGCTCATGTACAAGCCAGGCACTTTTATGGAAACAAAGGCAATAAAAAAATTGGATCATTAATATTGTGCAGAAGCCCAGTTTCAGATGAATGTGTTGGAAATGTTCATACTTTAAATGTCTTTTCCTCCTTACCAGTAGGAAAGCATGTAACTTTAGGAAAGAAGGTGGAACAACACTTGATACAACATGGAAAAACTTCTGTAGTTCTCCTCACTGCTCAGAGATCTCCCTTTAGCAAACTTGCAATCCACCTTGCAGTTCACAAAAGTGCCTATGTGCTGCACTTCAAGTGATGAAAATCCACAGGAACAGGTGTTTCTTGGCCAAGCATTCCAGTAAGTGAAATTTATTGTTTTAATATTCCCTTCTTCCATTTCTCAACCAAGGAATCTTCCATCACTAAATCAACATGACCCAGACTGCTGCAGGAAGACAGAGAACAGGACAAGTGCAGACTTTCAAAAATTAAGATAGAGCCAAAGAGGTCCTCTGCAATACTGAGTTTTACTATGGTACCAAGATGACTTAAGAGAGCTACCCTGGGAGGCCAATAGAAAAAGGAGGTAGCAAGAAAAGCTTATTACTGGTATCAATATGACAAGAACAAGTGAAAATCATCCTAGACCTGAGACAATCTAATCTCTCCACCCCAGTGCATTCAGCATCACACTGGTCACAGATGAGGGCAGGAGGGTTTGAGGGTGAACGTTTGCTTTGTGCTTTGCTGCTTTCTCTGTTCCCAGAGCCAGAAAAGTATAAGAGCATCACCTATCACGTGTCAGTCCACTGGGAATTTCTCAATGCTGAAGAGAAAACTGGGCTTGGCAACACCCTGTGTCTTATGGATGGCCCAAATGTCCTTCCCAAGGGAGAGGACAGAAGTAGCATCTTCATGACTCCCACATCACCTGTCCATGTGGGAGTCACTAGATCTGCCCCTCTCTGTGACATCCTACTTCTACAGGATACCTGGAAGTTCTTTATTCCTGGTAATCCTAAAGGACAGTAGTGTTATGGTATGTAGTGCACAGAAACAGGGTAAAAAATGAACCAGAGGGTTTACAATGTAATTAAAGGGTTTAATTCTTTACATACACTGTAAAACTGAAAATCCAAGCTAGGTGCATTTGAAAACAAAGCAAACCAGATAAACGTGAGCTGTTTCACGCTAGACTAAGGGTATGTTTATGTAGAAGACTGAGCAAATAAATTAATGTTTTTTTTCTTATAATGTTAATACTCCCAAGAACACTGGAGATCCCAGCAAAGTCATCTGGATGGGGATATAATGCAGTGCAGATGTGAAAATGCTTGAAGGGAAAGAGGGAGCATCCAAGCCTTTCCCAAGACTCTCCTAACACCCTTATGACAGTGATCTGCCTCCGTGTTGTTGTTGGCATGGCTCACTTAGCAGCCGTCACAGCCCAGCTTCATAATTGAAGTTACAGGCCCAATTCATTAAAAGAAGATTTACTGGTGTTAGGAGGGTTTTGTAATAGATTTTATTTTCATAAATGGGGCTCTCTAGTGCATGTGATTTACAGAGGAAAGAAAAATCTGAATTATGGGGAGAATTGCATGTGAGCAAGGTTCTTCGAGTGAGAATAGTTTAATATGGAAATGTGACGCAGATCTGGACAAGGAATTCAATCTCCCCTCTTACCTGCTGACATCCCAGGAGATGTCTCAGCAAGACAAAACCACACTGGGCTTGTTGTGCTGCTCTGTACAACACTCTGCTCAATCTACTCTCCATTGTGCTCCAGCAACTCCAGGGGAGCTCGCAAGGAACAAGGGAGTCCCAGCTCCCACTGCTCACTGCATCCCCAGTGTAGGTCTCCTGTCTCTGAACCACTCAGATAAATGCTGAGGCCCTGTAGATGTCTTCTACACTTGGAGTGACTTTCCAGCCAGACTGGCAAGTACAGCCCAGCAAGATTAACAAGGGGAGCTGCAGCTCTAGTGTGAGTGGCTGTGGGAGCCACAGTGCAAGAGACGTGCATGATGTCTGAGTATGGCAAAATAAATGACAATGGCAATAATAAATAATAACAGCAAGCAGGAACCTGGTCAGTGCAAGCAGCTGAGCATGTCTCACCCTAACTGGGTGTCTAAAACAACAGGCTCTCCAATAACCCCCCTCTTTTCATTGCCTACCGAGAGAGACAGGGTGCTGATTGGACCCAGTTGAGGTGAAGCCCCTCCATGGGTCCTGATTGAAGCCTAACTGCTGCTGCCCATGGGGCACAATACAAACAGCACAGCTGTGTACAGTGCTGTCTGTGTTGGCAGAAGCAATGCAACAACTCAGTCCAGGTGGGGAAATCCTGAGGACAAACCAAAACTTTTCTAGTCCCCTTCCCTCTTCCCTCTCCCCTAAAAACAGTTTATGCCTATTAGCCTTTATGTCTAGAATGCAAAACAATTGAGTAAAAATTCCTGTCCTTTCACTGAAGCCTTTATATTTGTTATTAAAAGACAAGTAAATTATTTTACAAAAAAATGTATAAGTTTATAATTTTTTATGAGTTTTTTCTCTGAGAATTCATAAGAGGCTATAATGTGATTAACAAACCCAGTGAGTAATGTACAACTTAGTGTCAGACGTTGGAGCTGGTCAAAATCCACGACAGCCAAGAGTTAACAGACCTATAGAAGTGAACAAGGGAAACTGTTATTTGTTTTGATTGTGATGTTATAAGTATTTTGCTCTTGCAGAGCTGATACCCTGCAGTGACCTACATGTGACACACAGCTCCTCCAGAGGGTGTCCTGTATACAACCAAGCAATTTCCCTGGCCAGATCTTGTATGTACAAATCATTTTCTGGAAACATTCTTTCACATCTTTACTTAGTGATATCATATAGGCCAAAAAAGTTTGTTGGCTTTTTAATAAAAAGGAAGTGTGAAGTGAAGCATTTACTGCCTTAAAGTTGTTCATACTTGTCCAGGAATCAGGAGCTGTTTTCCAGAGGCCCTGCAGGTGTCCAAGTGCACATTGAATTTGACATCTATTGTTTATGCCAAGCAGTAGATTTTTGAGGAACAATTGGAAACATTCACAGAAAAGGAACATTTTGGACTTGTGCAGTGGGAGTGATCTTGCACAAAACCTGAAGCTAAATTTTACTTGCCCAGTGGGAGAACAAGGTGCTAAACCACCCTTATGACTCATGAATTCATTCCTCACTCAGTGCCTAAATAGTGTATTAGATACAGGTTGCTCTTAAATTGCTTTTGACCAGGGAGTTATCCACTGAGTAATTTTGATTAAGCAAAAATGTTGTAAATAGTCATAACTTGCTTGTGGTCAATTCACAAAGAGAAAAAAAAAAAAAGTTAAACCGTCCAAATATTATCTTTATTCCAAAACATTTATTCTGTTCTAATCACATGGCAACATTCAGGTATATCTAGTTAAACCCCACTGGCAAGCCATCGGCAATAGAACACCAGGAAAATCAGCCCTGATGCTTCAAATCCATGTTTTTCATAATCCATGTTTTTCATTTGCAAACCAAGAACCATGTAGTAGAGGGGAAGAACCTGAATTTCAAATGCAAGCTGACTGGCAACAAGCAGTTACCTTGGACAAACTCCACAGCAGTTGTTCCAGGGATCTGATGACTGAAAACTGCAGTTTTAGGTCAGTCATATTTCATAACCCAGTTTCAAGGCTGGGCTTTTTCTGTGTGGAACAGCAAAACTAGGAAGAGATTAAGAAGCCTGCCTAATAATTAGCATTCCAGCCTGTCAGAGTCATATTATGGCACATACAACTTTGATTAGATGAACAATCCAAAGGTTGCCAAGATAAGGATTCAAAAGCCAGGCAATATCAGAAATAAGGTCATTATGCTCAGTTTCAGAAATTTGAATGACACAGCCATGGTATCCTTCTGGGGGAGTCATCACTCTCCTCCACAGAAAACACATGGTCTGTTTAATTAGCATGTCCATGAATGAAGATCCCATCTGTACTCACCAATATAAATCACGACAGCTGGAGCTTGCCAGAAAATTGATTTTTCTGTTTGACATGTGTCTTTCCTGATTTTTCAGGATTTTTAAGCCTGGCACCTCATCTGCCCAAAGTACAGCTACCACTGGCTTTCAGTGGTGACATCCACCTCTTCAAAGACTGCTTGAATGAAGTGCCCTGCATCACCTGGGACAAAGGTACAAGGACAGTCCATCTTTCTGGAGCACTACTGTCCTTTCTATCCCTGTCCTTCCTGGCTGCAATATGTGCTTCCCTTCTGTTTGTGCTCAGAGAAGATGGACTTTGTAAGGTTCTAAAATCACAGTCTGAATGTACGTTGAAAAGTGCTCTGGTCATTCAAAGGCTGTTCTTTTTCTCCATGTTCTGCACTATAGTCAGTTCTTTTGCCACACTGCAAGCCTTTCCCAAAGAATGGAAGAACTGTCGCCCGTACAAGAAAGACCATTCAAGAATTTCAGGGCATGAAAAAAACAGCATTTTTTGATCCTTAACTCGGATCTTAAGCTGGATATCATGGAAAATCTCCTGCTGAAACATTTTTAAAAGATTGTCAACATCACAAACAGAAAGACTGGGGATTTATAAAAGAGAAAACTCTTCAACCCAAATAATGAGTAGACTTGCTAGATCTCTCCAAAATAGCACTTTCTGTAAGACTTAAAAGCATTTCTCCATGAAGGGTTCAAAGCTAATAAGCTAAGGACTGGTGTGTTTTACAGACATAGGACTGTGGAGAATGCTCTACATCTTCCTCTAGACATTCACTGAGATTAGACTGACACCAAGAGTTGTACTGAACTAAATCCACAGCCAAAAAAGTGATAGAGTCTCTTGCTTAATGTGAGTAGCAAGTCTCTTCAGACTGAATTGCTGGGTTTCTGTTCTACACTGACAATCTGTAGGACTAATTCACAGACCATGATTGATCACTTATTAAATTAAGGTGAAAACAAATACTCATATAAATCACATTCTTTCTTCCTACAGATAGCTTCTTCAAAATGTTACTGTTCATTTGAAGAAAGCCCTGTTTGGAAGAGAAAGGAAAAGCATTACTTTGACACTATCTATATGAGCATTGCCTCCTCTCTTTACCTATTTTTCTGAGGGTAAATTGTGGGGAATAAAACAAGAACTCCAAAAAGGTTCTGATTTAGATACCTAATGTAAGACATGCTTGAATATTTATCATCCCAAATTATGTTTCAGGTTTTTGGCTTTATGCTCATTCTTTTGTCTATTCTTTTGAATTTAGTTTTCACTGATACATGTTTTCCCCTAAAGCCTCTTGCACTGCAGGAAAAAGAGCCCCTTAAAGCTGATTTGTGTAGATTTTTAAAACTGGCTTTTAAAACATGCTAAGAAACAGACACAGCTGCAGTAAAGGGCTCTAGGCTTTTGATCTTAAAAAGAAAAAAAGGAATCTGAGTTTGAAAAACACTCATTTTATGCAAATAAATCTGTGCAGAAAAACAGTGTAAGAAAAATCCATGCCCTTTAGAGACCTGAGAAAGCAGCTGGCTCTGCAGGAAGCAGCCTGCAGGTGCTGGGAACTGGCCAGAGGGTCAGACTTGCAGCTGCTGCACTCAGACCTGGCCTCTAGTACAGTGGGAGCAGGAAGATGTGCCTGAGGAAGCAGTAGCTGTCCCTAAAGAGGGTTCACCCCTTCCTGGCTCCAAGCAGAAGGGGACTGCTTGGCTCTTTCCATCACATGCAGATTTCTATCAGGCTGGATTTTGTGTTTGTTTTGTAAAAAAAAATACTTAATTTGAGAAATATTTATTTGAAGGTTGTGTCTGGCAGGCATTTCCCTCTAGGCCAGCCTGTGCTCTGATTTTGGTCAGTCCAGTAAAAAAAAAGTCGGATAAATGCTTCTGGAGACCTGCAGAGGAGAGACTGATACATTACTCATTTGAAACAATAGTGGCTTCTTTTTGCAGAGCTTGTACCTTTTTCTGTTTCTTTTTTTTTCCCCTGCTATCATGACTGTGGATTTTCTTCCTCTTCAACACCTTTCATATGAACATCCTACCTTATCATAGGAAGGGTTAGAAGCTGAGGGGAGAAGGGGAGACAAAAGAAGTGCAGCTGCCGTGTTTCTTCCCACCCAGGTAGCTCTGGATTACTTGCCCTTCATCTCCTTAGTCTGTAACTCCAAAGGGAACAGCAAAGGTATAACAGTTTATGCCATGCTGTGTGAGTTGCTGTGTGAATTCCAAGGGCTGTGTAAGAAGCCAAGGCTGACACAGTGCAGACAATGTGATGGCACTGCCTGCCTATTGTGTCACTACAGAGAAGGAGGTGGAGCAATGCACTTGCACATCTCCCAGGAAAGAGAGGACAAGTAGACAGCTGGAAAAACAAACATTTTAAGAAAAACAGATGACAAACAACAGAGAACACAGTCATGAATATGTAGTGCTAGTACAACATTTTCCTACCATCAGATCTCAACAGAGATCCACCACTTTATAAGATGGGAAGCACACAAAACCCATGTTCACCAAATGTGTTTACATCAAAATCAAAGGTGAAAAACTACCTCCATGCAACTGCACTCTGGAAACATTCTTTTTTCTTTCTCCTAGCTCATGTTGCAATGTGTTTCAATATAAATGTCACTGTCCCCATAACCAAGGTTTACTGAGTTCAAAGGTTGGAGAAAATCTAAGTCAGACTTGGAATTGAGATGGATTTCAGGAAAAAATGGTGTTGATTTGGCAACAGCTCTTTCGAACTTCGACAAAAAATGTCTAAGTGATGTGTGAGGTTAATGAGCAGCTGAACAATTAATCATTCTATTCAGTGGGTGATCCCAGTCATCCTGGAACACAGCTCCCTATGAAAGAAATGCCAAGACACAGCTTTCCTCATCCTGCATGAAGCTAACATGCCTAATCCCTTCCCAGTTATTCTTCAGCCATCTCCACCCAATCAACAATGAAGAACAAAGCCAACCTCCACAGAGTTTTTAGCCCTCAAGCTATTTTCCATACAAGTGTGAAGTGTCAAATTTGCTGGGTCTGAAACCACAGGATTGGGGTGGGGCAAGTCAGTTGTAGTATCAAAGTTAAATAGGATTATGAGTTACATGTTTGTGACTGGAGTATAAGATGGTTGGCATGAAAAGAGCTGTGGAGCTCTGGCTGCTAGGGTTTGGCATGTGGGAAGAAACTGTGCTTGAAGCAATTTTGAAAATAGAATCTTATTGCTCTGCTTCCATGAAAACCATCATTGGAATAAACCCTATGTCTTTTGAAATATTCATTAAAAAGAAAAGAGTCTCCCTTGCCAGAAGAGTCCAGTAGCCTGAAGTATCTAAGTCCAACCTCATAATTTGGGTTTGTACCAGACAGAGAAGATTGTGGCTGCCATGCATTGACTTTTATTCATTTTTATTAAAATTTCAGGGAATGTCTCTGTCTTTCCTTCTAAAAGAATCCTATTTTGTATTTTAAAAAATTGATACTCGGTAGGACTAGGAGAAAGTGTCTGTATTGGCTATTAGTTGATGTAGACTGAAGAATGATTACTGGCATTCCAGTTCAAAAAGAGGAAAGAATTAAAAACACAGGGTTTTGGCCAGACTGCAAGGTGTAAATGAGATCAAGCCAGGTGTGACACCAAGGGCAGGGAGGGATGGCTGTGGGAGGGATGGCAAGTAGGAAGCTCTTAAGGGGTTTACTGAAGAGTCAAATGTTGCTGATGTTGTTTTGGCCAAAGTGAGAGTAGAGGTATTTTGTTCAGAACCAAGGGCCCATGTCAGTGAAGCAGACACAGAAGTTTTCAAAGATCACTAGTAGCTGGTGAATGTGGTGACACTGCTGAGTAATTTCATTCATGTTGTGATCACTTCCTAATCCTGGGAAATCCTTTTACAGTGAAGTTGCGGTGCCCCTGCCTTTGGGGAATCTGCTGAAGCAGAACTCACGTGTCTCAGGGATGCTGAAAGGATAATCTGGTTGATGGCAGTAGATGGACTGGCCACCTAGAAGCAGAACAGCAGGTGCTATAATGGGTGCCTCTGCAGATCTGACTGGAGCTACTGCAGTCAGGGACATCATCCCAGGTAGGTTTATCCTAAAATGGATAAAACCACTTAAAATGGGAGTGGTTCAGGAAAGGCATAATTGGTACCTGGTGTAATTCTTGGGGTGGTCTGTGCCAGGCCAGGAGACAGACTTCAGTGATCCTTGTGGGTCCCTTACAACTCAGGGTATTCTATGATTCTATGACACATGCCTCACAGGTAAATCCCAGGAAGTATGAGCTCTGTTGAAAGGTTTTCTGAATTTTTTGGCCCTATCCAGGTCTGCCAAATGGTGCCTCTAACAGTATGTTACAGCTAGACCAAAAGGCTGACACACCTTATATACCTGGCCTCCCTAGCTTCACCTCCCACCAGCGTTTTCTGTCCCTTGTCCAGGCTCAACAGGACTTGGACCCATCAAGTCCCACTTATTCCACCTGCCTGCCACCCTCCTCACCCTATCTCCGCTACCCTTTACTGCCTCAGCCTGTTTCCATGCCGGCTGCCCGCAGCCCGTGTCCCTCGGTGAGGGCGCCGGGCCGGGCACGGCCTCTCCCCGCCGCTCCCCGAGGCCGCGGGCAGCGCCTCCGGCGCCATTTCCCGGCCCGCAGGTGGCGCTGCTGCGCCGGGCCCGCGGCCGGGCTGAGGCGGGCGCGCGCGGGTCGCCTTTCGCCTCAGACCAGAGCACCAGTGTGAACAAAACAAAAGCGAAATAAGTTTTCACTGACGAACAATCTTTGGCGGAAAAGAAACAAGCATGTTTCTAAGAAGGCTGCCAGGCGCAGTGGCAGCCTTCCCCCCTCAGGAGCGGCGTGTGGCCTCTCGGCACGGCCGGGTGTGGGCAGCACGGGCTTTTCCGCGTGAGTTTGGCTTAGGGTCGGGACGTGCCTGAGGAGGGGTCGGGGCAGCAGCGCATGACAAAGGTGACACGAAGTTAAGACAGACACACATCAGAGCCGTGACTTTTGTCTCTGCTAACGTGGGGAGGATGAAAGGTGCCTGAGGAGGACGTGGAGAGGGGATCTGCTGCTGCCTTCCCAGCAATTTCTGCTGAGGAGCCCCGGCTGTCAGAGGGACCGTGCTCAGGGCGAAGGGGACACGCAAGCCAACAGCCACACTCGGTTTGTGGCTGCTGGGAGACCCGAGCTCAGCTGCAGCTATTCCAAACAAGGCACTCTCTGAAAGGAGCCTGTTTCTTTACTGCCCTGCCTGCTCATTATTGAGGTGCTTTTACCCCACCTCAGCTCTATCTCTTTGCATCACCACCCTACAGCTATCATTAACTTCTTCAGTTATTTATATCGCTCAAATTTACTGACACTGCCTAAAAAAATCCTCTGGGCAGAGTTTTAGGAAATTGGTCAGAAATCTCAGAAACTGAGTCATTTGGGATGGGTTGAACTTTGCTTTTTTTCCTCCAGCTGCCTGCTGTGTGTTTGTCAGATAGGGATTGAAGTGAGGAAGGGTCTCGGAGTTCAAACGCCTTCCCTGCTGCAGCGAGGTGGAGCATGGCACAGGATGCAGCTTATCGCAGATAGCAGCTGTGTGTATCAGGGGTCTCCACTTCCCTCTCCCATGCTGTTTGCTCGGCTCCCTGCTTCTCCCGTGCACGCTGTGTGAGAGGCCGGGGTAGGGGATGGATTTCAGACCCATTAACAGCTTTCCAGACTACTAAAGTCAGTGTCACGGGGCACATCCTGCTGATTCAGCAGCAGAGGGCAGTTCCTATCTCAGAGGGAAGGCGAATAAAAAAGAAATAAATCTGCTTTGCCTCAGGAACCATGAGTTGTACCTTTCAACCCTGTCTGGGTGAAATGTGGACTTAGATTACAAAACTGTACTGCTTCACTTGCATAGCTAAAGCAGTGTAATTTCTAAGCCATTAACAAAACTGTACAGATATAAATGCAGTCCCAAGCATTTACCAACCACTGAACTTCAGCTGGAATAACCCTCCATAGAGCTGTGTCCACACCAGGATTTGGTGGTTTAAAAGGCTGAGGGTGGGGGGAATATTCAGGTACTCAGATCAAAACCATGAAAAACTGCTTTTGAGTTGGGGGAAAAAGGGGGTGTGCAAAGACCATTTCTGAAGGTTTGAAATCAATCCACCATTGTTTTTTTATTTTCACTTCTCCCAAATACTCTTTCCAAATCTTAGCAAAAACATTTTCCCAGGCTTATTAAAACACCAGTGACATACCCAATAATATTTTGATAATAAACCTGCAGTAAAAGACACAATGTTCTCAAGAACATCCTCTCATTGCATGAGTTGACAAAATTCCTGAATTTTGTTTTTAACTTCTCCAGGAGAATAAAGGATGATTTTTACATAAGGAATGTTTCTGTTTAAAATCTGTCCTGGGAACCTGGTGGCCTCTGTTTGCCTGTCCTGAATCACCTCCCTGTTGTGCCTCTGACCCTTGGGGGCAGGGAAAAGGGCTCTGTATTTTTGGCACGGTGCTGATATCCTTCAGGGGACCCTTGGCTGAGGTGTCAGAATTGTATGAGAGCTGCGTAAGTTAAGGAGGATGTTGCAGGAACACAGAGGTGTGTCTGCACTGAGAGGGAAAAGGAGCTGAAAAGTAATGCAGAAGGCAAAACATGGTTTGTGGATACTTCTCTACCTCAGGCACTCAGGAGGAGGCTGAGAAGGGAAGGAAATAAGAAAAGCAGCATATCATGAACTGAAGAGAGCAGTGACATTTTACAGCAGCTGAAGATCCCCTCCACAGTGTTTGTACTCCTTTCATGTGGTGTTATCAGAGCTCTTTGGAAGAGTTTATTATCGTGTTCCCTCAGACAGCAAGCAGACAGCCATCCTGTGACCCACATCCTGAGTTTTACAGCCCTCCTTGTCCTGTGCCATCTGGGGTATTTATAGTGTGACCCACCACTGGGACAGCAGAGGACTTCCTTTATACTCTAAACATTACGCTACAATAATAATGAGAAAATGGGACAAATGACAAGCTTTCCTGCCCAAAAAAATGTCATAACCCCCTGCCACTTCAAATGACGTGAGCTGGCCAGGTCACCACGCTCATGGCACTGTGAGTTTCAGGGCACTGGTGTTGTTGTGACTATGCTGAAAGGCTGAAGGCTGTACCTGGGGCAGCACATGGAAGGAAAGTCTAAATATGCTGCAGACTAAATCACACAGGGAAGGGGTAAGAGAAGCTGAAGCTCCTGGTTAGGGCAACATCTGCAAAGTGAGCTACAACTGGCCTGTAAATACACTGCTGCAGACCATAGCATAGCACAGCACCTCAAAGAGATTTTAGAGCTTTTTTTCTTTTTTATTTTCCCCCAGGAATTTGCCTTGATCTTGATTATTGTTACAATAAGTGATCTTCTTTTAAGGGATAAAAGGAAGGAGTTGGCTTCCTTCCTTTCTGCATCATCTCCTGAGGTATCACATTTCTGCAGGCTGGTGCTAGCACCTCACTGCATAAATGGTGCAAAGGGATTCCCCAGGAGGTTGTTTTTCTCTCCCCCAAGAAAGGGATGATTTTGAGAGATACAATAGCTTTAACTGAATGTGGTAACATACCATTGTTGCCCAGAAAGGTCAAACAAAGGGGCTGTGAGAGGTCAGTGCGAGAGATAAAGAAGATGAGGTGTGTGGAGAATAAGATAAGAGCTGAGGGTCTTACGTGATTATCAAGGGTCAGGCATGTGTGGGCTAGAGTGGCAAAGGATGAGTGAGCTTGTGCCTCTCCCAGTTAGAGCTGGAGAGGGGGTGAAGGGAAGCAGTGCATCTGGGAGGGTTTTTGATTGGCTCAGCAAGGAAACTTCTGAGTGAGAGCTGAGCAACCTCTGCTCACCCTTAGGCCCACTGTGGCCTGCAAAGCACATCAGTGGGACAGTGTAGTGATGGCTGAGCACAGACAGATTTGCTTGGCAGGACTCAGACTGTGTTGGCCAGCCCCAGTCCCTGTCTGGTAGCAGGAGCAGAACCTGTGCCCCCTGAAGCATGCCATGAGAGTGCTGGCCAGGGGACATCCAGGAGCAAAAGGAGAGATAACTCCCTGCTGGAGGGGCTGGCATCAGCCTTGATACAGCAGAGAGGGTGGGTGGTAGCAAGTGCAGAAATGTCTCTGCTCTTATGCTTTCACTTTTCCTATGGGGCTGTGCGTGGGTTCCCCAACATATGGCCAGCCCCTTTCTTCAAAATGTTGGGTCTCAGTGGAACAGGAGAGTTTGGACCTTGGGCTTCTGCCTTTTGTAGCTAATAGCCCATTATGTTAGGTGCATCTGCAAAAAACTATGAACAACATGCTTGGATTGATTCAGGGATCAAAACTAAGGTAAAGAGTAGAAACAAAAACTCCCATGTGTCGGCAATGGAAAACAACTGCAAGCATTCTCCTACCAGCAGAAAAAATGTAGGAAAATTGGTTTCTAGACTCAAATTGGGTAGATGGTGGGATTATGCTGGACTAGAGATTTTTATACTTCAAGCAGGTGGGGAAGGAGGGGGTATAGTGAGATCAGGTTTGCTGGATGATGAAGAGGAGAGCAAAACTGCCACAATGATTTCTATTTTCAGCCTCCCCAGATCTGCTGGGTCTTTTGTTCCACATGTTTGTTGGTTACATGTGAGAGGTACTGGGATGAATCCACTGCTTCTGCACAGCAGTACATGTGAGGGTGACAGTAAGGTCTAACCTGCCTGTGAGCCAGTGACAAATGACAGAGCTGCACGTTCTAGCCATGAGCAACCTACAGTTTTGCCTGGGGGAAAAAATTGTATTAACTTGATAACTTAGCTCTCTTGAAGTCCTATCAGCACAGATACAGAACATGCCATTCTTTACTGCAACACAGCCAAAGTAAACTATCCCAGTGCCATATCAACTTTTGCAAAGGGAGGGGAAAACACTGACATGGAGTGGAAAATGCTCTGGTGGCGTAAGTTTGGCCAGTGCACATGACTGGGTGCCAGGCAGTAAAGGAGGAATCTGCCCTCGCACAGAGGCAGAACACACCCTGCAGGTAGCAAACAAACAGAACACAACCTGGAA